ATATATATATATATATAATAGTTTTTAATAACTGTAGAATAATAGTTTCAAAAGGAGAAGATGACACACGGGGTAGGAACACATATCCTCTGGCCGCCTCTGAAAGGCCCAGCGTATTATTACTGTTTCTCTGGTTATAACCTATAGTACCGCATCTGCGGGAGCAATTTTATCAAATATTTATTTATATATATATCCCGATTGGGTTTTATTTTACAGTGTAGAAGGGCATTGCGAAGAAGTCGATTTAATTTCGTAGGAAACTCTAAAGCTTGTTTAATCACTAAATTTCCTCATAGTTCATTTTCACTATGAAGCAGCTGTGCGCTACATCTCAGTGACACTGCGTGCTATTTGTTTAAATTGAATCTATCAGCCTATCAAGTGAAATATGATACTAAATTAACGGTTACAATTTAATGGGTCGAAACGCCTTAATCTTATCTAAATTATCACCTTTCATACACTATGGTTTAGCCTTCAGTATTTTTTACCTCACTATTAGCTAACATCTACTCTTGGAACAATAATTCTGCTTGCGCCTAATGAGCACCTCGGCGTCCAATATTACGCAAATATTGAATTCAGACGAAACAACTCCATGAATTACATTTTTGTTAATTTTGAGCTTTTGATCACTAGCCACGACCGCTCCCCAACTCAAATCGCTGCTAGATTTTCGAATCTATATTTTTCAAAATTTGCTACAACTGACACCGACGGTTTCTAATTTCACGCATTATTCTGCGAAAAATCGTAAAATCGTGTTTTCTTTCTTATTTCTTAGGACCCCAAATTTGTTGGCTGCGTAGAAGCAGGCAAAAAATAGAATAAAGTAAAAAAAGACAGCGAAGCAAAAGCTGATCGAAAATGCATAAAAGGCCAAAAATTGACCCACTGCGTAATACAAATGATAACGGAGGGGCAAAATGTGATTAAAACTGTACCAGATTTTAGTCAAAGTATCTGCCAATTGTCTCAAGTGATACCGTTGTTTGTAACCCGCTCTTTTGTCAGAAGCTAAATTAAAACTCTGCATATGTTTCATTTTTAAATAATCTGGCTCGCAAGCGGGCATTCGAAAAAGTGTTTTGCTTTTGAAAACATATCGCTCGCTGGGAACAATGAATACCGTAGTCAGAGTGGTGAAGTAAAGGGCGCCTACCGTATGTGGTGCACTGGTCTCACCGGTGGAAAGTGCTTTAATCCGCTGCTCGAGGTCCGTTACTTGTTGACGCAGTGTGTCACGCTCAGCTGCAATTGCATCCCTAGCATCGCAGGCTGCCTTCACGGCATCGTGGCCTTCTTCGCCAGCAGATGTCGGCGCCGTGGTCATCCTAGAAGAATTTGGTTTAGATGAGAAATAAATCCAACTTTTTCCTATTTCCTCTTCTTTCCAGCAAATACTTATAGCATCATTAACACACACACTCACGACTCTCCCGTCTGCTCCAGGATGTCATTGCGTAAGAATGCTGGGTAAAAATATTTCTTCTAAACTTAAGCCAAAATTCTCTGCATATATTTTGGTCAAAGAAAATTTCCAATAGCCCTGGGAGGATGATTTA